ATATATATATATATATATATATATATATATATATATATATATATATGATATGCAAGGTTACCTGAAAAACTATAAAACTATTCAAAGATATGCAGGACCATATTGGTGACTCATACATGTAATGGCAATTCTTGGGAGGAAAGCAGATTGCAAGTTTGAGGCCAGCCTGGGTAACTTATCAAATTTAAAGTCAACTTGAGATGTCATTTTTTTTTTTTTTTAGAAAATGTATGTTTTTTTTTTAATCTACATTAGGCTACCATGAGATTCTCATAACATTGGTCCTTAGCAGCACCAACACTGTAATTTTTCCATAGGATTATGTGCATGCATCTATTTAGGAATAACAAGTCATGATCAAAGCCTCAGTGACACATTGAGAAAGCCAGGTTCAGTTCAGTGTCTAAATAGAAGAGCACACACACACATGCACACACACACACACACACACATTAAAATAAGAAGAAGTTAAAGAGGCAAACCATCCTGCAGGCTGTGCCAAGAAGAGGGCAGTTGTTTAGCACTCTGCTGGAATTGGTGGCACTTGTATTCTTTCTCTACCAGGCAGGTAAGAGCTGTGTTTCAAAGATAGCCATCTTTCTCCTTTGATCACACTTTTTCTTTTTTCAATCACTGAGTGACAGACAGACACTGTGAGGAAGTCATTAGCGCTGGACCCCTCCCAGAAGCTAGAGTTAATGAAGATGTGCAAAGTATAGCACCACTCTGTTTCTTTTTGTTTTCCTCTTCCCACCTGATAGGGTGCACTAAAGTAGTTCATGACAGACAGACTTGCTTTTCAGCCTGGAAAATAAGTCCTTTATAAAAATTTACTAATTGCTACTCTAAGTAGGACTTAAGACGTAAATAAAGCAACTCTCAGGAAGTCTCTGAACTGACCAGATTCAGAAGGTTCCTTCCTCTCTAAGCTTATAGTAAGGAGACAGTATCCAACCATTTGTTCTGTTGAGAGCTCCAGGGTTCCAGCTCTCATACGCCCTAACCCCTGCTACATGGGCTTTCAATGATGCAGTTACATTTGAGCTGTCCATGCTCCTGTGAGTAACACCTTATCAACAGACCTAGAAGTAACCCTGAATATGATGGGCTTAACAAGTTGGAGTTTGATGGTATCATTACTTTTGATGGTCATTCATTCCAAATCTTGTTTGAGTGCATGTTCATTAATGTCTTTGCAGGAATGTTGGCATAAAACATTTACGACAGGAGGAAAATAATTATCACATATTACAGTGATGGCTATATATCACCAAGAGTCAAGACAAGTGTCTTTCAAAAAGGAGGGAAAAGACAAGAAGACAGCAAAGCCTTGATTCTCTCTCTCTCTCTCTCTCTCTCTCTCTCTCCTTCTTTGTGTTTGTGTGTGGAGGGGGGTGTTTGTGTACTCCACTTCAGGTGACATGGTAAACCATGAAGGCCACACTTTTGTGAATTTCCATCCAGAGAAGAGGAAACACTTCACCTGGCTGGTGATATTACATTTTTTTCTTTCATTGTTTTAAAATTTCAAAATTCAATATGCAATCTTTGGTTACAAACTTCTGAGATGACTGCTGGTTTTTTTCTCAAACGAAAGTGATTATATCTCAACATTCAACATTTTTCCTTTCATAGTAAATTTTCCAACTCTGCTGGAGTCTCAGGCCATGTTGTAAGGTCATGGCTCCTTTAAAATGAATGAGTTTTCTCAGATATATTATTACGAACTTCCCAGGTATCTCATTTTATTCTCCATTATCTGTTGAAAAAAAAAACTGTAGATATGCGTGCCTCATGAAAAGGACCAAGAAAAGGAGAACAACTCTCTAAATAGTCTACTCATGGCTATAATTCCCTGTTGTGTAATCATGATTCTTATTTTCTCTTTGGAAAATAACTATTTTTCTTAGCTTCTTATCAATGTAATAACATTTGGCTGTAAACTGAAAATATATTACCCTATTTTAAGTTTGTGGAAGAAGAAATGGAGTTAGTTTATATCTCTAATAAGCTGTTTGATAATGAGAAACAAAAGGGGTCATTTAAGGCTCATTATGAAATACGGCCTCTAAGAATACTTTGGGGGCCAATATAATACAATATAAACTAGGTGTTAGGGAAACAAAAACAGATAGAGACTCTCCTGATTCTCCAACGAGAGCTACCTGTTCATATTCCTTTCCCTTAGTGACTTGGAATGCAGTAAGGTCATAGAAGGGAAAAGACTTTGGGAGAAATAAGATTCCTTTACCACTTGGTTGATGCATCAGGGACACCACTTGAGAATCTGTTTACTATTAGACACAGACAGGCTGTGATGGTGGTATCTACAGAGATCAGGTTCCTGGGAAAACTGTTTACTGTCATTTTAAACTAAGGCCTCCTTTTTCCCTTCTCAGAACACTAAATACAACTTGCAGTAATTTATCAGATAAACATATGTTTCTCTTTCTGTCCCTACTATAGAAAAATAAGCTCCATAAAACCAATGATCTCACTTGCAACCACTGTTCCTGCATAGGGATGTACAATTACTACTCATGACCTGAGCGAATAAATGAGAAATAAACGTAGGAGAAAGCTGCTGTGAACCCATGGACACTGGGGTAACTTTATTTTACTCACTAGTGGTCATGATCTTAGGAGGGTCATGAAAATTTGAGGTTAACTTTGACTTGATTTCATCAACAAAGATCAGACATTTTCTTCTTTATCTAGCTCAGTGTGTTGATTGGGAATCAAGGAGAATGCTTTAAATGTATGGAAGGGCATTAATACCTACCCAACATAGCTTAGGAAGCAAAGGATGCCCAGGGAATAAATAAGATTGTGGCTGAACATGAAAATAAGGAGAGAATCCTTTTGGCAATAACCAAGTGTCCATATGAGTGTGGATTTGTTTCTGGTCTTCAATTCAATTCCATTGATCCATCAAGATGTCTACATGCAGAAAAATGCAAAGAGATCCATATTTATCACCCTGCACAAAACTCAAGTTCAAGTGGATCAAAGACCTCAGCATAAAGCCAGATACACCATATCTATTAGAAGAGAAAGTGGGAATCAGCCTTGAACTCATTAACATAGGAAACATCTTCCTGAAAAGAACACCAACAGCTCAGGGTCTAAGATCAACAATTAATAAATGGGACTTATGAAACTGAAAAACTTCTGTAAGGCAAAGGACACTGCCAATAGAACAAAACAGCATTCTTCCACTTGGGAAAAGATCTTCACCAACCCTACATCCAACAGAGGGCTAATATCCAAAATATATAAAGAACTCAAAAAATTAAACAGCAAGAAATCAAGTAGTCCAATTAAAAAATGGGGTACAGAGCTAAACAGAGAATTCTCAACAGAGGAATACTGAATGGCTACGAAGCACTTAAAGAAATGTTCAGTGTCCTTAGTCATCAGGGAAATGTAAATCAATACAGTACTGAAATTCCATCTTACACCTGTCAGAATAGCTAAGAACAAAAACTCAGTTTGTAGCACATGCTGGCAAGGATGTAGAAAAAGGGGACTACTCCTCCATTGCTAGTGGGAGTGCAAACTTGTACAACAACTTTGAAAGTCAGTTTGGCACTTTCTCAGAAAGTTGGAAGTAGCACTACTTTAAGAATCAGCTATACCACTCCTGGGCATATACCCAAACGATGATCTACCATACAACAAGGACATTTGCTCAGCTATGTTCACAGCAGCTTTACTCATAATAGTCAAAAATCTGGAAACAACGTAGACGTCCCTCAACTAAAGAATGTGTAAGGAAACTGGTACATTTTCACAATGGAATACTACTCAGGTATGAAACACATGAGAATCATGAAATTTACAGGATGGAACTAGAAAGGATCATCATGAGTGAGGTAACCTGACCCAGAAAGACGCATATAGTATATACTCACATATAATTTGATATTAGTCATATATTACAGGGTAACCATACTACATAATTCACAGACCCAAAGATTCCAAGTAACAAGGAAGACCCAAGGAAGGCTTTTTTTTTTTTTTTTTTAATCAGAGACAGAAGCACCAACCCAAAAGCATGCAGGGACTGGCACTAGCCCACCTACACATATGTAACCTCTGGGCATTTTGATCTTCATGTGGGTTCCCTAGTAAGCTGAACAGGGAGCTGTCTGTGAAATGACCCTGTTTCCTGCTTTTGATTACTTCCTCCTAACATGGTTGCTGTTCCTAGCCTCAGTGGATGAGGAGGAGCTCAGTCCTAATGTGCTTTGATGTGCTAGGGTGGGTTAGTGGGAGCTCCCATTTTCTGAGAAGAAGAGGAAGTGGAATAGAAAAAGAGGGTGGGAGGGACCCGGATATAAAGTGTATCTAAATTAAAAATAAAGAACAGACATTGAGTCATTTTTTCCACAAGATCTCTCTATTCACCTTCTGTCTATTCTATGATCTCAGGCAGCAGGGACTACTGTTCTTCTGACCTTACAGATGAGGGGGTGTAGGAAGGGGACAGACAAAGAATAAGCTGACACTAAGCCCTACCACGTTGTCATGCGTATCATGAGTAAGGCAGTGAGACTCCATCCTCCTGCAACTTCAGTCCTAGATTGCTACACAACAGAGGCTGTGTAACGTCAGCTCAGAGCTTCTGTGTCAAGAAGGGTAAGCCTATGAGGACCAGGAGATCCTAAGCTTGAAAATATCTGTCCACCTCTGTGGATCTCTTGCTCCTTCCTGCAGAAAGGCTGGTGATATTAAAAAGTAGCTCTAAAAAGTTTGTATCTGTGTCTTTATATGTGGTTGATATTTATCTTGTGAGCACAGTTTTATTCTCTATAAAATGAATATGATGCTATATACACTGTAAAGTCCCCAAATGCTTTTAACATCCATATTTCTCCCTGAGGACAGAAAGGGTGTAAATGACAACCTCTATTACCAGAAGCTCTTCCTAAGAAAGACTATATTCCATTTCAACTTGTTTAATGACACTTGGTAAGTCATTCAATAGCGCTCTTTTATGCCTACTAAAATGACTCCAAGTATCCAGTTTATAGCACTTACATTGCTAATAAGAGGCGATTTGTTTACAGACTGTTGCTAGGTGATTCATGAGCATTAATTCCCCTAGATAAAGTATTCCTTTTTTTTTAATATCCTAGCCTGACAGACTTTCCAAATATGGAAGAACCATAACTGCCACATTTAAAGCCATTGCATGCTAGAGTTCATGAGAAAACACACACACACACACACACACACACACACACACACACACACACACACACACAC